AATTCATGTGACTAAAAAATTATTTATATGCTTGAATGAACTTACACGGGATTACAAAATGAGAGTATATAACTAGAGCTTGCTATGGACAATGATTGTCTCCTTTTTATTTTTTTGAGTCAAGGTCTCACTCTGTTGCCCAGGTTGCAGTGCAGTGGCATGCTCACAGCCACCACAGCCTCGACCCGCGGGCTCAGGAGATCCTGCTCCTCAACCTCCTGAGTAGCTGGGCCTACAGGCGTGCGCCACCATGTCTGGCAAGTTTTATGATTTATTGTAAAGATGAGGTCTCCTCAAGTTACCCAGGCTGATCTCGAATCCCTGGGCTCAAGCAATCTTCTTGCCTCTGCAGCCCAAAGTGCTGGAATTATAGTCACAAGCCACCATGCCAGTCTTGTTTTATTTATTTATTTAAAAAGCTTTTAAAAGAAGAAATGCCAGGCATCTGCCTAGGCTGGTCCTGAATTCCTGAGCTCAAGCAATTCTCCTGCTTCAGTCTCCCAGAGTGCTGGGAATACAGGTGTGAGCCACCCTGCCCAGCCCTGGGAGTGCCTTTTACACTCACCTGCATGTTCCCCTCCACAGAATTATTTCAGTGGAATACCGGGTCTATGTGGAAGGCACACATAGTTGTGTGATCTATGGAATGACTCGGCCTAGGAAAATCAGGAAGGAGAGTTCCACACCTGGAGACAGTTGGTAGGCAAGTGGTGTCTCCAGTGCTACCTACCCTGCCCTGGTGCCTGATGACAGGCTGTTTCTCCAGTCAGCTAGCCACTCTGTCCAGGAACCAAGGTGACACCTTGCATCTGCAAACACCAGAGAACAGAGCCTGACAGTAAGAACGTGGACAGACCCTTTGGTCTCAGCTTGGAAGAGGTGGAGTCCAGAGTCAACCCACTATACCAAACTCCTTCCCAGAAAGGAAACAGGAGAAATATCCTGCAGGCAAACAATTCTGTTCTAACTAGGAAATGAGGTAATCCATCAAGTTCAAGTAGAGAAGAGGGCTTGAAAGACCAAGAAATAAAAAGTTAGAAGGAGGTAGCCTTTGGCTGGGCTCAGGGGCTCAGTCTGTAATTCCAGCAATTTGGGAGGCTGAGGAGAGTGGATTGCTTGAACCCGCAGGTTCGAGACCCACCCGGGCAACTTGGAGAGACCTCATCTCTACAATAAATCAAAAATTAGCCAGGCGTGGTAGTGCGCGCCTATAGTTCTGGCTATTTGGAAGGCTGAGGTGGAAGGATCGCCAGAGCCCAGCAGGTTGAGGTTGTGGTGGCCGGGAGTGTGCCACTGCACTCCATTCTGGGCAACAGAGTGAGACTCCAACTCAAAAAAAAAAAAAAAGAAGGAGGTAGGCTTCTTGGAGCCCACTTGGCAAGAGGCAAGAGATTTGCAGTTTGGCAAATCTCATAAAAGCCCATAAAAGCAGAAGAAACAGTGAGACAGGAACTTGGAATTATAAAATGGAGATAAGAGCTGGGCACAGCGGCTCATGCCTGTAATCCCAGCACTTTGGGAGGTTGAGGTGAGAGGAATGCCTGAGTTCCCAGATTCAAGACCAACTGGGCAATTTGGTGAGACCTCATCTCTACAATAAATGAAGAAATTAGCCGGGCATGGTGGCGCGTGCCTGTAGTTCCAGTTACCTGGAAAGCTGAGAAGGCAGGATCACCTGAGCCCAACAAGTCGAGGCTGCGGTGACCAAGAGCATGCTACTACCCTCCAGCCTGGACCACAGAATGAGACTCCAATTAAAAAAAAAAAAAAAAAGATAGAGGTAAGAAAAATGGGATCCTGATCTTTAAACAAAACTGAGACATCTGACTTGACTCTCTATAAGTCATATGAATTTCTTCAATGATATCATTAACTAAGGAAAACAGGAGGGAGTGAGGTCAGATGGGGGAGGAGAGGGGATGCTAAGGAGAAAGTATGGTAGATGGGACTAGGTGGTCTGGCCTCACACTATGACCTTCTATAGAGGAGGAAAACCAAGGTCTAGAGAAGAGATGCAACTTTTCTGACAAAACCAGACTTGAAACCAGGCACAGTGGCACTTGCCTGTAGTTCCAGCCACTCTGGAGGCTGAGGCAGGAGGATCACTTGAGATCAGCTAGGGCAACATCGCAAGACTCCTGTCTGAAAACAAAAACTAAAAACCAAAATCTAGACTCTGTGGCTAAGACTCTCAACTGCCAGTCTAGTGCTCTCAAGCCCTGCCCATCAGGGATGATCCATAGGCCCAAGCGGGAGGAGGGGATTCAAGTTCAGGCAGAAGAAAGCGGATCCACGCACGCACTTAGGAAGGAAGCACTTCTAAGGCCCCACCACTACCCAGCCTTGGGTGAGCACTGAATGTTTCTGAGCCTCCATGTCTTCATCTGGAGAAGATGCTGTTTTCACGGTGTGAGGTTGGTCAGTGTGGGTGGTGTTTATTGTTTTTGTTTTTTTTTTGAGTCAGTCTCACTCCGTCACCCAGGCTGGAGTGCAGTGGCATATTCATAGCCACCCCCGGTGATCCTTCCACCTCAGCCTTCCAAGTAGCCAGAACTACAGGTGCGCACTAACACGCCGGGGTAGAGATGAGGTCTCACGAAGCTGCCCAGGCTGGTTTCGAACCCGTGGACTCAGGCAATTCACTCACCTCAGCCTCCCAAAGTGCTGGGATTACAGGCTTGAACCACCATGCCCTGCCCGGGAGGTGTTTATTCAAATAACTGAGTTATTTCACTGCACTTGGCATGCACTTGGGGATGGAAAGATGCTGCTAGTATAAAGGGAAGGTGCTGACCTCCTCTCCAACCCCAAGTTTCTTTGATCTGGTCAGAGTACAAGACCCCTGCCCCGTGCTACAGCTGTTTTGAATGGGCCCAGCAACACCCCCTGTGATGCCAACAGAGTGGGGTGTGTTGACCCTGTACCCACTGCAGGCCCCCACCCTCCACGCATGAACTGTCCAGAGTCACACATGTGCATACTGCCCAAGTGGTCTCCAGAGCTGCATGTCTGGGACATGGCAGGTGCAGGCTGCTAGGTGGGACATTGGACAAGGCATGCCACACCTTGCAGCCTAGGCAGGAAGGAGGCCTTCCTAGGCCTAGCCTGGCTGGTTAGCGTGAGATGAACTGGTTGTCTCCTGGTTCACCTTCAGGATGACGGCTCCATCAGCAATAGGAAATCCAAGGGCTGGGGGCCACATCCTCCCCATGGCCTCCTCATGTCATGTGGATAATCCAAAATAACTCCTGGAAGCCTGGACTCGTTCCCATGGCCTCCTTTCTTTCCTTTTCTCTTTTTTTCTTTTTGAGTCAGTCTCACTTTGTTGCCCAGGCTGGAGTGCAATGGCACACTCATGGCCACCACAGCCTCGACCTGCTGGGCTCAGGCAATCCTTCCACCTCAGCCTGCCAAGTAGCTGGAACTACAGGCATGCGCCATCATACCTGACTAATTTTTCTTGATTTATTGTAGAGATGAGATCTCACCAGGTTGCCCAGGCTAGTCTCAAACTCGTGGGCTCAGGTAATCCTCTCACCTCTACCTCCCAAAGTGCTGGGATTATAGGTGAGCCACCACACCTGACTCTTTTTTTTTTTTGAGTCAGGGTCTCACTCTGTCACCCAGGCTGGAGTACAGTGGCATGATCACTGCTCACTGCAGCCTGCAGCTCTTGGGCCCGTGATCCTTCTGTCTCAGCCTTCTGAGTAGCTGGGACCACAGATGTGTGCCACCAAGCTAAGTTTTAGATTTTTTTTTTGGTAAAGACAAGTACTTTCTATGTTGCCTAGGCTGGTCTCAAACTCTAGGGCTCAAGAAATCCTCCTGCCTTGGCTTCACAAAGTACTAGGGTTACAGGTGTGAGCCACCATACCTGGCCTTCCAGTGTCACTTCTGATCTCTCCTTCTTTTTTTATTTTTGTTTTTTTGAGTTGGAGTCTCACTCTGTCACCCAAGCTGGAGGGTAATGGCATACTCCTAGGCACTGCAGCCTCGACCTGCTGGGCTCAGGTGATCCTTCTGCCTCAGCCTTCCAAGTAGCTGGAACCATGGGCATGTGCCACACCCGGCTAATTTATTGTAGAGATGAGGTGTCCCCAAGTTGACTGGACGAGTCACGAACCCGTGGACTCAGGCAATCCACTCACCTCAGCCTCCCAAAGTGCAGGATTATAGGCAGAGCCACTGAGCCCGGCTTGATCTCTCCTTCTTAAACAGAGTCTCAGCGTCAGGGGAACTTCTGGCTAAAATTGGAGGTAGAAATAGGGGCAAGAGAATCTGGGGAAAGTTCAAAGTCTGAGGCAATATTAGAAGGTGGCAACAGCCGGGCTCGGTGGCTCAGCCTGTAATCCCGTGCCTTTGGGAGGCTGAGGTGAGTGGATTGCCTGAGCCCGCGGGTTCGAGACCCGCCTGGGCAGGCGAGCCCTCATCTCTACAATCAACCAAAAAAATTAGCCAGGCGTGGTAGCGTGCGCCTGTAATTCTGGCTACTCGGAAGGCTGAGGCAGAAGGATCGCCAGAGTCCAGCAGGTCGAGGCCGGGGTGGCTGGGAGCGGTCACTGCACTCCAGTCTGGGTGACAGAGTGAGACTCCAACTCAAAAAAAAAAAAAAGGTGGTAACAGTTTGAGACCCAGTTGTGCTCTGTGGCCAGCAGAGACGACAGCTAACTCTATCTACCCTCCAGCCCTGGAAGCTCAGAGTTTTCACGTCTCACCCACCTGGTACACGTGGAGCTCAAGTCAACCTCCCCACCTCCTTCTCCAAGGGCTGCCAGTCTTCTGTGCTGTCCAAGGGAACCTCGCCACGCCTGGGTATCGTTCCAGGCCTAAGCAGGCCCCACTTTCTCAACCCTCAGTTACTGGCTAAGGTGACTCCAGCCAGCTCCCGAATGGGAGGGCTGCCTCACAAGTGTCCCTGGGGTCCCTCAACCTGGCACCCAGGCAGCAGCCACCCACCTGTCCAACTCTAAGTCCCTCCACACAACAAACCGAGTCAGGGGTAGGGAGGGGCCTCCACATTTTATTAGGGATACGGCAGAAGCAGAGGCAGGAAGCAGAGCAGCCGTGTTTTAAACGACAGATAAATTAACCGCAGTGCGGGATTGGGGGTTGAGGACTGGGCCAGGCGCTTTAATATAAAAAAACAACCAAAAAGACAGACAGACAGACCCCAGAGACATGGGGCAGGGGAGGGCAGCACCATCCAGACAGCAGGGAGGACCGGGGCAGAGAGAGAAGGCAACTTGTCTCCCTCACCCCCAAACTCCCCCAGCATGGGGGCCTCTGGAATGGCCCCGTGGGGGGCTTTGAGGCAGGGAGCAGCCAGGTTGGGCAGAGATGGCACAGCTGGCGGGCAGGAAGCCCAGCACCAAGATGGCAGCCTGAAGTGGGAGCTGGGGGCCCGGGACACAGTGGCCTTGAACCCCAGTCCCTTAGAGGAAGAGCCTTGCTCTGGGTGAGAGAAGGGACCAAGGGTGGGGTCTCTCCCTGAGCTGAGCGCGGTTATCTCATCCACAGCAGCGGTGGGTGAGCCAGGGACCGCCTTCCTCTTCTCATCCGCCTGCTTCCTTGGTCCCTTCAGGGAGGGGGCCCCCTGGCTCCAAAGGGCTGCGAAGGGAGCCAGTCCAGTCTGTGGTCCCCACCTGCAGAGGGGGCTGTGGTGGCGTAGCCCCTCAGCCCTGACTCCCACAGGAGGAGAGCGAGTCGTAGAGTGAGTCACTGAGAGACTCCGAAGTCTCCAGCCCCGGGGGGCCCCCGCTGGCCGCTCTGCCTTCCTCGCCCATGTCCGATGTGCTGGGGGTGCGGCTACCCCCAAACGCCGGGCCCTGAGGCGTGGGGGATGGGCGGCTGGGCTCCTGGCTCCGCTTCCGGTCCACGGGCAGGGCCTGGAGAAGGACAGCAGCTGGGAGGAAGCTCTTCTCCACCCTCGGCCTAGCCCGAGAGGCACTGGGGTCTTGAGGGGTTCTGTCTACCAGATGGGGATGCTTCAGAGGGGCCACTTCAGACGAAGCAGGCTAGAGGGACAACTAAGCACAGCCACCGAGGCTCCATGGAGGGACAGAAACCCTTTCCCCAAGAGAGGGATATGAGACATGCTGCCCACAGGGGTGTCCAAGGGGGTGGTCCCTCAGTCCTCCCTCAACGGTGCTCAGCCAAGACTGCAAGACACAGGCTACACCTCCCTGGAGAAACTGGTCTCTCCATGTCACTCCCTCCTGCCCCATCCAGTTCTGTCTCTTTTCCCCTTCTGCAATTCTCACCATGGGGGGCTGGGGCAGCCCCTCCAATTGTCGGGATGGGCAGAGAAAAGGGTCCGAGGAGCTGCCAGCTGCCCTCGTGTTGGGGAAAGTCCAGTTCTTGGCCAGCTGGACAGGAGGGGTTGGGCCCGGGTCTTCACAGGGATCTGTCCCGGAACAAAGGGAAAGTGGAGTGGTCCAGCCCCTGGGGAGCTTCCCAGGCCGTCCCACCCTCCTGGCTGGACACTCACCATCAGGACAGGGCTGATGGCCCCGGTGGCCCGGAGCAGCGGTGAGCAGTGCGGGGAAGGCAGGCATGCTGGGGTGTCGCCCGCTCACCAGCAGCTCCTCTATGCCCGGCACCTCCCGCTCCAGCGTGTGTGCACGGCGGGGGACTTTGGTAAGGGGCGGGGGCCGTGCCGGGGGTACCCCGGGTGGGAGCTCCAGCCGTGGTGGCTTGGTCTTGGGAAGATTCTTGCTGGGAGTCCCAATGCTGCCATGGTCGGGGGGTGGGAAGGTCCCAATGCCACTGTCCAAGGTTCGAGTCAAGGAGCCGCAGGCTGGGGAAGGGCGGTCGTCAAGGGTGTGAAGCTGGGCTCAGACTTTGGCCATCTCGCTCCAGCTTCCTTCGAGGCCCAAAAGGCTACTCCACAGAACTCGCCTGCCCACCCCCAGTGTGCACCTGGTGCTTGGCACCAAGATGGCATTCAGAGCCTGGCACCTGCTGTGGTGACAGGAAGAGTAAAGAGGGTAGGGGACGAGGGGCAGCCCCATCCTGTCTCTGACCCTGCTGACCTGTGAAGTGTGAGTTGGGCCCTGGCTCGGCCAAGCTGTCCTCCGAGGGCATCTCTTCCCGCCTCCCCAACTCGCTGCTCGGCTGTGTGAGGTACAGGAGACCCAGAGTCCACTCCTAGCCCACCCGACACTCCTTCCCGTGGGAGTAGGAGTGTTAGGGGCCTGGAGTATGGGTCTGAGAGTCCCCGCAGACCTCAGGAGGCCCCTCTAGCCTCCCCAGTCCCCTGCCCCAGAGACTATGAATGCACTCAGCAGCCCTAGGGACGAGGAACCCTCCAGGGGTAAGAGACCTGGTAGGGTCAGAGAGCCAGGTCCTGCTACCCAGTCCCTGCCCCAAAACTTACCTTTCCAGGAGATTTTCCACAGCCCTGAAGAGGGCCCACCAGGCCATTTCGGGGCCCACAGGCTGGCCAGGGGCTCTTGGGGTCAGAGGACACTGGCTGGAAATCTCCATACTCGGGCTTGGGCTCCCGCCAGCTCTTGGGTGGCAGCTCCTTGCCATCCACCCTAAAGGCAACAGTACAGTGGAGGTGAGGGTGGCCTAGGCCCACCCAGACCTTCTAGCCTGGCACCCACCAATGGTGCCAGGCCTAGGGAGGAACTCCCTGACACCTACCACTGGGGAAGCAGCATATCGCAAGTGGCTGCTTCCAGCAAACCCTCCTGACACTGGCAATAGGCAAGGACCCTGAGAAAAACTCCAGAGGAAGAGCAGGGTTGGGGAGAAGGTAGGAGAACTCCCTCAAATCACCCAGGGTCAAGCCCAGAGACTGCTGGATGGTGACTCCAGGTAGGCTGGCAGACCCAGTCACATTCTGGTCCACACACGACATGCCCCACCTGTTCCAGCTGAACTTCCGAGCACGCCAGCTGTCCAAAGCGCACACCTACCTGGGGCCAATTCCTGAGGACCTTCTGCCTCATCTGACCCAGAAAGAGCAACCCGAAGATGGTGGATCCCTCCACTAAACCACAGCTCCCGATGTGACAGATGCCAAAGGGCAGGATGGGAAGGGGACCCTCCTCTTCCCTTTCATGAGGGAGAAGACACCTGTCAACCCATGGTTAGGATCTAACATTCACTTAAATGCCATATGCGGGTACTCTGGGCAGCTGCCTCATCTGACATGGGGACAATCAGGAAAACAAGGACCATTAGCTCTTCTCAGATGAGAACTGGGTCTCGGCATGCCTGATGTCAGCCAGTGAGGAGGGCAGCCGGGATGTGAGCCCTAGATTGCTGATTCAAGTCCCCGATCTTTCCTCCAGGCCAGGTCACGACTCCCTAGATACCTTGGTGGCATCCTACCCTTCAGATCTCTGGGAAGCCCAAGCTCCCAGGAAAGGCAGGTGCAACTCCAGCCCCAGGAGTGAACCAGAGGGAAAAGCCACAGGGGCCCACTGAGCGCCTACTGACTGGTCCCAGGCCCTCACCTGTTGAGCAGCTGTTGCATGAAGGTGTCCGCACCCTGGTACACACCGGCCAGCTGGCCCTGCACCTGTCCCAGCCCTGTGCTGGGCCCTGGGGCTGCACCCCCAGGTCGCGGCCGGGCCCTGCTGCTCAGGTAGGCCTTCTCCTCCTCCAGTGCCCGGCGCAGGTCTTCTGCTTTGGCCATCAGCTTGGAGATGTTGAGGCTCTCAGCCTCCAGCTTCCGGGCTTCCACTTTGGCCTCCCTCCGGAGCGGGGAGCCCCCGCCAGCCCCTTCCTTGCTCTTGGTGGCCTCCGTGCGGCGGTTCAGTGCCGGCAGCTTGCTCTTTTTAAGGCCGAACCAGCTGGCGATGCTGCTGGTGTTGCGGTGCTTGGCCTCGGTGCCGGGGGCCCGCTCCTGGCCCTGCAGTCGCAGCACGTTCTCCTCGATGCCCTTCATCACCTTCTCCTCGATGGCCGAGTGTGGGGCCGGCCCCTCAGGGCCCTGGTTCGGGTCAGCTGGGCCAGGGACTGAGGGGGTGGGCGGGGCCACGGGGCCGCCACAGTCTGCCCACAGTGGGCCCTTCCCTTTCTCGGGCTTGGGGGGCTCCTTGGCGACCGGGGGAGGCCCAGGTCGGGGCACCACCTTGGTGGGTGACTTGGAAGGCAGCTTTGTGGGGCTGCTGTGAGGGCTCTTGCTGGGCTTGCCCAGGCTGGGGGCTGAGGCTGGCACTTTGGCAGGGGTGCGGGGTGCCTGGGGGCACAGGGCTCCTGCCAGCCGGCTCTTGGCCAGCTCCACTTTGGTGAGGCAGCTCCTTGGGGAGATGGGCTCCAGGTCCACCCGGGCCCCCATGGAGTGGGAGGAGTAGACTCGAGCCCCGGAATCCCCCACGAGTCCAGGCTCCTGCTGCTTCAGGCTGTTTGTGGCGAAGGCCACTGCCCCCCGCAGGGCCCCCTTAGCTTCTGGCTGCTCGGGGGGCCTGGGGGTGGGGGGCGCTGTGTCTCCAGCACTTTCCCCTGACCTCCGGGCCTTCTCAGTGCCAGGTCTGGCTGGCACCCCATTCTTCTCTGGGCCCAGGGGCCCCTCAGGGCCTGTCTTCAATTTCCCCAGGGCCACCAGTCTGTCCCGCAGAGGTGTGCTGCCAGGGTCCCCAGGTCGCCGCCCTGACCCCTGGCTGGACTTCTTGGATGAGTTGCCTGGGGTCCTGCGGCCAGGATGGGGAGATTCTGAGCCAGCCTTGTCCAAACTCTTCTCCTGGGGGCTCCCATAGGGGCAGGATTCTGGGAGGCAAGGGCTTGGGGGGACTCCAGGGCTCCGGAGGAGCTCAGGGGCTGGTGGCACCTCCAGAGTCAGTTGCGGGTAGGTGGGCACCTGCAGTGGGGACGGAGGTGGCTCTGGGGAAGGCCCCCTAAAGGTGCTCCGGGAAAGGTCCAGGATGTTCTCATAGCAGGGAGACACCACTGGTCCTGGGGACAGTGTGGTGGGCAAGGCCGACTGCGGGGGTCTGAGCTGTGCCGAGTCCGGGGTCGAGGAGCAGGGTGAAGGGCTGGCGGGCAGGCCCTGTGCCCCCTCTGGGGACCCTAGCTCTCCTCCACCGAGACCCCTTCGGGCCAGCAGTGGGGAGGGGCTGCCGTCTGAGCCGCTGTTCCGACAGGGGATTCGGGAGTTCCGGGGCAGCTGGGGACTGAGCTGGGGGCCTCCTGGGCTGGGGACCTTTTCTGAGGCCGGAGGCAGCTTTAGGAACTTGAGACCTCTGGCTGGAGAGGGCAGAAGGGGTCCCTGGGCTTCCGCAGGAGAAGGGGGTCCAATTTGGAGCTTGCTTTTCACCTGAGATGAGGAGTGGGGATGGCCGTGCCGCAAGCCCAGTGGGGCATCCCCTGCGCCCACGAACATGCTGAGGAAGGGGAGGGGGCCCTGGCCCTCTGAGGTAGCACCGAAGCCCAGCCTGTGGGCCTCTGGGGTACCCCCATCCCAAGCCGACTTGGGGAGGCCTTTGGACTTGGACAGCTGTGGGGGCCCCTGATCTGGGGAGGAAGACTGCCCAGGACCTGGGTGGTCCCCATTGAGTGGGCCTGCAGCCCCAGCCAGAAAGGCCTGTAGGTAAGACTCTGTGTCCTCAAGGAGCTGGCCCAGGTTCAACTGTTTGCGGGCCAGAGCACCGAGCAGGGTGTCGGGGCTGGGTGCCTCATTGGAGTCACCTGCCTCATCGGAAGAGGAGGAGGAGCTGCTGCCTGGGGCACAGTGTGGGCCTGCGCTGGTGCTCTGGGCCTGGGGGGAGCCCCTGCTAGGGCCCCAGAGCCGCCCAGTACCCTCCTCCCCTCCCGGGCCCCCCAAGAGTCGCTCCCAGTGCAGCAGACCTCCCAGGCTACCAGGGCCCAGCAGCAGGTAAGGGGCCCAGGGCGAGGATTCAGGCTGAGGTGGGCCACACAGCTCGCCGTTGATGGGCTCTGGAGAGCCAGGACCCTGGCCCGGAGGCCTCCAGGGAGTAGTAGGCGAGCACAGAAGCAAGGGGTCAGTCTCTTCCAGGGCTCTCAGCACCTCCAGAATCTGGGCTTTCTTCCGAAGGAACGGGGACAGGGCATCCAGCGCCGGGGGCGGGGCGGCTGGGGGGCCTGGGCCTCCTGGCCTCAGCTGCTGCTCCCAACATACCTTGGGGGAGAGACAGTGTTGCAGAGGAGAAGCGTGCAGCTGGGATTCTGTTCCAGGCCCAGGACCTGGGCAGGGCATAGCTGAGGATGCCAGGGTCAGAGCTATGTGTCTATGTTCCCCAAAAAGGAATTCACAGCAACTGGGATAGATTGCTCAGCTTCCTCAAGGATTGCCGAGCCCTGGTTGCCCCACCGCTTCTTCCTGGCACACTTGGGGTTGCGAGAGCACCCCATATCCCCTTCTTGGCTATTCCCGCCCCCCCACTCCCCACAGCTGTTTGGATCAGAAGGGCTGACCACCTACAACGTGGACCTCTGTGTCCCAGGGGAGGGAGGCCTGTCCACTTTTCAGGCTCTAGAGAGAACACAGAGGTTCAAGAAGGGGGTGTGTTGTGGCCACGTCTTAGGTCGTCACTGCAGGCAGGCCTAGGCCTTCTCAGGTCAGACAGCTGACCCTGCTGACTTGAACCCTCGCCTAAGGGGCCTGGGGGTGACTCCGTGCAAAGCTTCCCTGCTGTTAACCTGGCACCTTCTTGGGCGTAGAATAGTCTGTATAGGGGTTAACTACATAAGCTCTGGAGTCAGACTTTGTATAGGTCCAAGTTCCAGTTCTACTTGGCAATATGACCTTCAATGAGTTATCTGACCTCTACGCTGCATCACTATGCTACCTGTAAAGTGGGATGGCAATTACGTTTTTTTTTTTTTTTTTTTTTTG